AATCAAATATCTTAATAGCTTACAGCTAAGCCCGGACTTACTATCTTAGTGATACATTTGAAATGATAATATAAATAAAAATTATAATTTATAGTAATATGTTGGTAAATTCAAAGTTGAGTGAACTTCCACTGCAGATCATCGTAAACATAAAATAAAATGGAAGATTTATGTAGAATACGGATTTCTTTTAATAAAACGCCTATCGGCTACCATGGTACATAACTATTATTAAAGCTTACTTTTATTAATGTATTTTGTTTWAGCAAATTTACATTTTGCTCTACGTCATGTTTAGATAAGCGATAGAAATTGAACGTTATTTTTACTAAAAAGTATCCTATTAGCATAGAAACAATTTTCCGGTCAGAACAAAATCGTTTCAAATAAATTTCTCATTATTATTATATTAATATATACCTATTACCTAATATATTAATTAATTATTTTTTTTTTTAAATCAAGAATGCTGTAGCAGTAAGATTATTCTGGCTATAGTATCATCAGTTATCAGATGTATTAAATTGAAAAGCCTATGTACAACTAATTTAAGTGATTTTGTAAATACATAAATTTGATAAAAACACTTGATGTAATGTTGCAATGTTATTCAGAGGATATCAGCGCACTATTTGTTTTCTCTCTCTGACCCACATAGCAAGTTTAGCAGAACCAACCCTGTGTTATTACATTTGATATTATAGAGTAAATTCACCTATTATCAAACTTTAAGTTCAAATATTATCTACTATGTCTCTATACGTTGACTATTTTATGGTATTTAAATTTATATKTATGTTATGAGCGTGTAAATTATTACAATATTTAAAAAAGTTTATAAATCCTATAAAAATTAATATATCGTAAAAAAGTAGGAACACAGGTAATACTCTCAGCTTACAGTTTAATAATATTCGAATTCACTCTAATATTAAAAATAATTCAGGGTTGTTTCTGTAACATAAATTGTCCATGTTCTGCGTGAGAGAGAAAACAAATGGTATAATATGATAGTATGTATGCAAGTTCGCTTAATAATGTTACGAGACGGCTGAGTGCTAACCTATCTTGATCCAGAGTATAACCCAAATGATAAAAATATGCGTATACCATCTCGCATGCAAAAGAGTATTAAGTCGAAACGTTATAATTGATTTGATTAATCTAGTTATATAAAAATTATTATTTTTAAATTATTAAATTATTWATTATTTATCAATGTTTGTTATTTAAATTTTTAAACGGATATGATATCATATTAGTTGTATCCAGTCGTGGAAATTGAGTAGTTGTTTTCGAAAAATATAAGTTATCAAAAATATAGCCGGRATCTATTCAAGTATATTTATTATTTGAGAGCGTATCAGCATATATATTATATGGTGCCTATATAGCATAATATTATTATATATATTTATATTTTATATATTATCTCTGTTTACAGTAAAAAAAAGAAAACCATTATWACTTAAARCTGCAACTGACGTACACTTAAATAAAAATCAATATACGAACACGCAAGTGTATGCAAATGTCTAGGACATATTATATTATTATAAAAGTGAATAATTGAATCGATTCAAATATATCGTTTTCCATACATTTTTTATTATAATATATTTTATAATATCTTAAAATGTTAACATTTAACAATGATTGTACGCATGGATGACATAACAATATTGATTTCAACTTTGAAAATACTCAAAATGTTTAATTTGATATACATTTTTTTGAAAAATTCAAATATTTAATTTGTAAGCCTGGGCTTTAGAAAAAATTGGTTGTAAAAACATTTATTTTAGTCATGCAGTTTTTTATTTACATTCTTTTAAAATCTCATTATTTTTGTTGAATTAAGTTGATTCARTCGTAAAAAATATTTTTAACTCAAWAAGTATAAGTTTTTTCAAAAATATGTTAAGAGAATTTCTTAACATACCTTAWTGTTAAAATCTAAATATAATAATATAAAACTATAAAAGTTATTAATTTTCAAATTAATGAGTCATATTTCAAAAATTTCGATGAAATTGGTTTTATTAAAACAAAAGTTATTTTATTTATCAGGTATTCCTGTATGGCAGTAATTTTAAAGTTAAGTCAGCATAGGCATAAAAACTATATATTTGTATCTTCAAAATTGTTGACAAACTTAAATTAGAATCTATAATTTAGTGTATGGTAATTTACTAGGATTAAAATATTATGTTTAGTGGACACTAAATTACATGGTGCGTGGAGGGATGCCTATAATGGGATTTCTRCTATCCCCGTTCCCCATTACTGTTTGTATTATATTATACTCGTTTAAAGTAATTGTATTATAACTAACGTTTTATTGTTTCATCGGAGGTTTTGACTATTGCGCGTGCWCAAAATAAATAGTCAACTGGCAAGTGATGGAAAATGCCATAATATAACCTGCTGCTGCAATCGCACCGATAATATTATCTCGATTTCGATTTCCTAAGAAATGCTACAACACCACGTGCTCGTTCGTATTGTATTATTTGTCGAAAACGATTCTACGATACTATACTGTACAATCGCATGATATACTTGCGATATAACCTGCAGTGGCGTAACCATAAACCAGGGGGATGTTTTGGGTGTTGTTGAAACACACGTTRGCTATATTTATGCTTAATACATATGCGTCTTACTATATATWATTATGTTTCAGATTTCTACAAAAGTACATGTCGTCATAATAATACGATATAGTTCTACAAGTCCTATATCATATTATAAACATTAATAAAGTATGAAGATCGAATGCTGTAATATACAATATACTGTAATGATGCAGTTTGCGTGAAAACCCCGCTACCTCGAGTTATATTTGAATAAAAAATTAAAACAGCCCTTCAAAAAAACTCTTGTTACGCGTTTCGGTATAAATACACCTACGGATAAAAAATCCGAACAAGTAAATATTTGAATAAAAAATTAAAACAGCCCTTCAAAAAAACTCTTGTTACGCGTTTCGGTATAAATACACCTACGGATAAAAAAAAARAAAATAGGAAAAAAAGTATCCGGTAACTACAAACACTTCATAACAAACGTATAATGCACGYGACACATCATATTATAAACCATGAATAACAAAACATCAAGATGTGTACATCACCCTCTTCTCATTGCAATGTGTTTTTTAGTTGTGTACAYCGTGCAGCAGTGTCATTTGAGTTGTCTCTTGCGTTCTATCATATTATATACATATAATATTAACGTATATAGGTATAAAACTGCGCTAGGGAATAGGAGAATATAAATTCTAAGGTTGTTTATTAGTTTATTTAAATATACACCACACACGCATATCGTACATACACGGATAAGGAACACACGTGTAATTTGTTATTTATATTATTATTTATTTATTTTTCGAGTCCAGACGACGGACGGTCAAACTCACAAATCACATCCCGGCTCGTAAATCTATCTTCGGGACAAGCGATAAAAATGACAACGGAATAATAATAACGATAATAATCATGTGATGTTGTTACTACATTATAAACCCGCGCGGGAGGGTAAGAAAAAAAATCAAAACGTTAGATCTCCACATCTTACAAAATATATTATGTAACTATAAAATACTCACAATGCATACGCGTCATTTACTTATGACATTACGGCGGACAAAAAACGGTAGGGCGTCCAAAGAGATGATGGGGAAAAGACGTGCGCCTCACCGAAATCAAAACCCAAAAACCAACGGACTCTGCAGCACGCAAACGCCGCAAACACATTAGTCACGTGCACAATAGTAATATTTATATATTATTACAATAATATTTTGACTAAATATTATTATTTTTTATAGTAATTTATTATTCCGAATGGCGCGTATACCACCATAATATCATGTACCACCTATATATCGTCTGTATATTAATATAATTTTATACCATAAACTTGTACAGTATAAAATGCTAAGGACGAGCGTATATTTTCCGTGCGGTGTCACGTGTCGTGTTTATTATAGGTGTACAATATTATATATAATTTATATATATATACGTATTGAAAAACGAGTAGTCGCCACGCGCCGGGGAGGGGGGAGAGGTTTAGCGCAGTGGCCGTGTAGGTGGGGGACGCGACGGGGCAACCCTTCATCGGACGCAACGCGCGGCCTCCGCCTCAGTCGTAATCGCGCGCGGCATGGTCGCGCTCGTGTGTTGTTTGTTCCGCGTCGGTTCGCGAGACGTCGTCTCGTCAGGTCGTTGAGCCTCCGAAACCGACTGTAGAATTCGATATTCCGCGATATCGGGAATATCTCGCGATTATTTTCGCGCTATACTTAGCATTGCCATAATATTCTACGCCGAGCTGTTATTAATAGTTACGATAAAAACAACATTTGTTGTTGTCACCTATACGACGAGACCCGCGAGTGCGTTCCAATCGGTTTTCGCGCGACGATGTTTCGCATCAGGTGGACAGCGGTAATGCTGTTGGTGGCGATAGTCTTCCTGTCGTCCGATAGCCAATTCTGGACACCGGTTACGGGGTCCAACACGTTCATAGACGAAAACACCAATCTAGCCGAAGACTGTGAGTAGTTGTGATCCTTATTTTTTTACAATGATAATGTTAGGTACGTTTATCATACTCAAAAACCTAACGCTTTTTAATAAAGGGTCTAACGAGTATTATTTTTAGTTTATAAAGTTTATATTATATCATGCATATTAATAATAAACGCGTTAGAAGATTTCGAATGTCGCGGTTATCGGGAGTTTACGTAAATGGCGATAGAAATGTTATTAAGATATACTGTACTGTRCCTACAATAATATAATATAAATTTAATTATATTACGTGTGCGTATATAGTTTGATGCTAAACGGAAACTACGAATTCGAGAATATTTTATTTGTATCGTAATAATATTGATGTATGAYTGKWCTTGAAATTTGTAATAGGTAGGTAYCCTATAATAGTTTAATAAGTATGACGTTYGTTATAATATTTAATACGCGTGTCGTAAAATTTCTTACACTTATAAACCTGCACCCGTTATGTGCTCTCTCCGTCTCATAAATGTAAAACATAGTAATTACTGTTTTGCGCGGGATAGAACGGAGGAGGCCACAGTCGTAACTAAGAAACGAAATTTTCACCACTTAAAAAGGAGAACTTTGGCTGTGAAAAATCGTTTTTATTTTTCCATATTGGAACTACAAATACATTTGTTTWAAAAATACGAAAATAATGGATTTTGAAACAAAAAGAGCTTTTTTCATATAAAGTGATGTAAAAAAAATTAAAACTTCACTTCTCAAATAATGTTCTCAATTATATTGTATATCAATTTTGAGTCATATAACACTATCACTATAAACTGAGTGGTCATATAACGCGAAAAACAATTTTTATTATGTTGTACATTTGTAAGACGGAGACAACACAGGTGTAGAGTCCTCTTAGATGATATCAAAATTTTAAATATCTAGGTATTTGTATAATATGACAATATGCCACCGCTAATACTCGGCTGAAGGGCTAAGATTTTCACAGAATTACAACATTGCAATTACAATATCTTACAATATACCTAATGTAAAAAATGTTTTAGATTTTGGAATTGATATTAATTTTTTTTAAAACTTCAGTAATATGAGTACCATCAATATTTGAAATAAAATGCATTAAATAAACATTTTTTTGCTCTATCAGCTAATGTAAAAAATGTTTTAGAATTTTCCCCGGAATTTTCTATGAAAGCAATCTAATGTTTCCTCCAAGAATTTATATTTGATATAGATATAATGATAGTATCTCAAAGATTCAAGGAATCAAGATATTTATATAAATTCGTTTTTCAATATAGATAGTAATTATTTACCTACATATTATTATTATCAATATCATTTGACATTTATTATGTAAAACTGTATTAAAATCGCAAAAAATAAAGAAAAACAGTACCTATGTGTATGCAATATATTTTTAATGAATTTTAACACAATTATTAAGCCTATTATTATTGTTTACGTACTTACAGTATTATTTTTTTAAGATTACTAGGAAAATTACAATAAGAGATCATTTCTATTTTGTGATATCGATATTTAAAATAACAGCAATT